TGTTAACTTCGTATTGACAAACTCATTTGTGGGAACTTCATTCACCACTAATTTTAATCTATCCAGATCATCTGCTTTCTCTTCCGCAGACATATATGTTTTCTCACATTGCATCAGATGATATCTCAACCTGTTAATTCCCTCCAAGATTTTAAGAAGGCATAATATATCATAAGCTGGGCCTGATTTCTCAAAGTCATCTTTTGAAAACATGGGAGAGTAAAATGGAAGAAACTGGAAGAATTAGGCCCTTTTAAATAAAAGAGAACAGAAATTCTCATCAAGAACACGTGTGGCATGGGGTGTTGAGGTTGACGTGTGTCTTTTACAAGTTATTTTGTACGTACGAGTCCACAAGCTTGCACTTGGGACAATTTCATGTTCTGTTCCACTTTGCTGTTTCAGAATTGACTGGTATAATGTTAACTCGGAGTTCAATTGCTGCCTTTCAAGGAAAAGTAGCAACTTTGCTGACTCATCTTCATAATCACCGACTCCTGCATCACTTATATTCCTACCAACATCCTCTCGACGAACATCAACGCCCACAATCCTCTTGCTCAACAAGGTCCTTCAATATTTTAATAAACAGAAAATATAAGAAAATATATGCTATAATGATATACTCCGAAACAATAGCTAAAGAACCATACTCCAACAAAAGAAGAGAGTCTCTATTGTAAGCACAGACGGCTGTCCTATGAATGCTATCCCTAACAACCAGCAAAAACAAAATTGAAAAATTTTGAACACATTACAATCTAGCAATAACAAGGAAGAAACATACTGCACAAATTTCATCTTCATTTGCTGAGTCCATAGCTTTATTGGCAAAAGTGGGTGACCCTTCTGGTGAAGATGACATTTCATTCAGTTTACCCTCCTGAAAAGGCAGAAAAAAGTAGTTTCACATATGAAGTAAAGTTAACAAATGGATATAGGAATACAAAGTTTCATGTTTCTGGAAGAAGCTGGGATAAAAACAGGCAGCTGTAGTGCGTATCCAACTGCAGTTTGTGCATAAAAAACTGTACCTCTTTGGTTGCCAAAATATGCGGCTTTGGCCATCAGAAGTTGTTGAATCTGGGGTTAAAGAAGAACACAGTTTCTCTTTTGAATCCTCGGATCCAGATGTTAAATTCTTGGTCTTATCATTTCTCAGTCTAGACCTCAAATATCCTTCAACTTCATCCAGAGGTACAAAAGGATCAACATATACAACACCTTGAGCATAATCGTGCAGACATGCCTCTCCGTTCTCCCTCACAAACTGTACTTTCAGACATGCGTGTGAAACGTAGCGCCCATTCGGAACAGTAGCATAAGAATTTC